GACAATATTCAATTGCCTTAAAAATAGTAGCGAAGTACAAATACAAAAAAGAAGGCAAAATAATGAAAATCAAAAAAGTATAGACTTAATAAAAACAGGATTACGAACTAAATCTTTGCTCTTGGTTTAGCTTATTGGTGCACTATTTCGTAGGGTAAGGATTCTTACTCTGATTATGTATGCTACAATACAGACAAAGGTAGGCACATTTTCATCGGTGTCGCAGGAAGGTGAGCCGATGACTTCTTCGCACAATCCAAAATCATTTAGTCCGCGGAAATCCCCCTTCGGTATCCAATGAGACCATTTCATAAACTCCCTCCAACCGAATTTTATTTCGAAAAGGAAAGTCATATCACAATAAAATTTCAAGTAGAGAGATAAAGGTACAATGGACGGATAAGACTACTGTACATCAGGTTACCTGATCGTATTCTGCATCATAAGCTAGTAAATTGTTTTCTCTTGCGAAGATCTCCCTGAGATTTTCTTCGTCCGTAATGGGCCGACCCGATCCGATGGCACCCAGACGGACGGCAGGCCCATCTGTTGGATAAAGAGTAGTCGAGCCAGCAGGAACATCGGGATGTCGAATGTCTACAGTGTAGCCTTCATTTATCTAAAGTAAATTAGATGAATAATTGCACGCTTTTTACCAAATATATAAAATAGGGAATCAAGAAAGGGGAGAATATTGTGGATGGTTGATTCTGGTATTTGATGAGTATTAGGAATAATTCGGCTCTATTATAAGCAAATAAGTTTATTTATAGGACAATATCCTTACCGATAATTTATTTCGAAAGTATGCTTGAAAGACAGCAAATGACTAAAATCGCGGGAAAAACTAAATTTGTTTTTTTTTAACGAGGCAATAAATCCGCACTATAGAAAATGTTTGTTGTGTCTTTGCTTAAGGTAAAGAAGCAAGAGTGAACAGAGCAAGCACTGTTGTGAACATAAAGAATGTATCTCGAACTATGGATGTAAAATGAGTTCAGAGTAATTATCAATAAAAATCTGACAGCATAAATCGGGAATTTCAATAGAACCTTTAAATACCGCATGGTTTATAATTTGTTTTTTTACGTATATGAAAAATTAATGGATACACTTAGACTAATACTGATAAATAAATGATTTTTTAAATAGATATATGTATATATACATATATAATCCTATGTGGAGATTAATGAGAACATTAATTTTTTTTAAATGAGGAGTAAGACATAGTGTATAATTCGATAAAAAATTAGAATAAGAAAAAACGAGAAATAATTATGTCAAAGATATGGAAATAAATAAGAATACAGGCCTACGGCTTACATAGTAAACCAAGTAACATAAAAACGTTTAAAATGAAGTGGATAAAAAAAGGATAATCAAAATATTCCATTTAACGATAGGCATAGACGGTCTTTGATAAAATACTCCCATTAGAAAAGTCTACGAGTCTATTAATAAAAACTGTAGTCGTTCTAGGTCGCTTAACATGATGAAGAGCTAGTAGTTACATATTTCCACAATGATATTGAATTTAGTCTAGCCTTGTCTCTCAAAAGTATTCTTATCTACGATGGATTGCAGTTTATACTTTGACTAAATGTCATCAGCATCCCAAGTGGAAATCGAATACGGGTAGCGAAATGCAAAATTTTTAATTCTATAAATAGGCCCCCCTGTCACGAGTGTCAATTGGTCACAGAGAAGAGGCCAATTCTAAAACAACCCATGGCCCTCTCATATCAAATTTATAGCGTGATTTTCGATTAGGTAGTGTTATTCTCGAAGGCCTACTAAAATACTAATAATCTGAATTTTGCAAATATAATCTACTAACTCAATTGTATTCACAATGGGTATAAAAGTAATACTCTGGATTGTAAAATCAATACAAATTTGCCCCCTCGGTAAGCACACCGTAAATATTAATCGTAGTTTTGCATTCGTAGGCGAGTGATAAAAAAGTAAAGTGATCCCAGTTAATCCAGATAATCAAGTTTTGAATACAGTTAAGAGTACAAATGAGACCTAGGCGAGGTTGAAACGACAGTTCAATATGGATGAGAATAACCTCAGAAGGTAAGGCTAAAAAATATTCAGTGACATTAAAGGTCGACTAATTACATTATACAAAATTAACTGAGTCCCTAGTGAGAGTCTCAAAATACACACATTTAACATATAATTTCTAAATTGTCACATAAAAGGGAAAAAGTATATAGATGACAAACCTAGAATAGGCCTAATCGATTGTTGAATTAGCTAAAAAATATTACTAAAACTAACTTAATAAGATGTGAAGACCAAGATGTTGTGGCCTCGGGTATGGTCGCAGTCTCCTTTCGACTTATAGAAGTAGATTGACCTCGTTGTCGCAACTTGGTCTTGTGTTCAGGGAGACTATGTAGAACGCACCGAGTCCGAAGTCGTCTGCCATAGTGGATGCTAAGAAGTCAAGACAACTACTATGGCAGATGACTTCGGACTCGGTGCGTTCTACATAGTCTCCCTGAACACAAGACCAAGTTGCGACAACGAGGTCAACCTACTTCTAACTTAATAATTTCATTTCAACTTTATCAAATGCGGCTTCGCAAAAGGTAAAGGACAAACAAACCTATAAAGGTCCAATTTAAGATAATCACCTTTAATTTTAGCTTATCTGTCTCAGTTGGGGGTCGAATAAAATCAGACGATTCTCCATCCATCTCTAAAAGATTGAGGCCTTCTTGAATGAAGGAGTGCCAGATACAATTGGTTGTTGGTGATTGTAAGAAGTTATCTAACACACGGTCAACGCAAGCTAGCAGTGTGTGGTCGAGAGCGCCGTAGCGACGCACATGAAACTCAAATTGTTGTTGTTGCTGTAACCCATTCGGTTCACCAAATGATCCAGTTTCTGGAACATTGCGCGCCTCAACGCGCTCACAAAATACATACATCGGTTCTGGAGGCCTAGAATCGGAGTAATCAGATAAATCGGACAATTTCCGATTTTGGTCACCAGAAAGAGGATGATTGATCTTTTGCACATGATTGTGTCCCAACTTAGTAGCATACCGGGTTGGGGCCCCTACTACGATATCACCAAGACGAGAATGCTTCTCAAAATCATAGATATGTGGAACACTGCCGGCTACTCCTACAAGACAGACGTGCTGCATAGTTTGGAAGGCTCCTAAAGAGGATAAAAAAATGGAATGATGAATGACGGACATTATAATAGTTAACATAAAAAGCAATAAGGAAAGTGTGCAAAGAAATAATCTCCTTAAACAAGCTTAAATCGAGAGTTGTTTAGCGATGCAAAAGGACATAGTTAAAAGGAAAAAATGTGTCAAATTAGTTCCTACATTAAATCAATAATTGGTAAATTTTGATAAATCGCAACAAGGTCTCCTGCCTCATCGAACAAATTCAGAGGTAGCAAGAATTCATAAATGTCCTACATATAATCTGAATAAATAAGGCCGGATTAATAATTGTGTACAACAAGACAAATAGCATTAGCTATTTGTTAAGAGCGATGTGTTGTAATTAAAAAAAGATTAGCCTCAAGGACTTTTGCACAAGTATAACAACTTGATATGTATAAAAACTGGTTTTCATGTTGGGGAAACCTGCCAATCCAAACATACATATGAAAAAAGACAACCTGCAAAGGTATACGGGCCCAAAAGTAAGAATTGGCCGAGCACATAGTCCACACAGAAGACCAGATAGGAAGGTCTGATGAAAAACGATTAGCTGGAAATGGAGATTATACCAGTAAGCGGAATATTAGAAGAGCGATAGAAATCAACAAAACAGCCAACACACTGAATAGAATAAATGAATGTAGGAAATTAAATGGTAACTACTTAGGGCATTGGATAGGATTAGAACGCTAGAGAGGTGACAAGAAGTACGCCCGGGCAAGAGCAGGCTTGATTAGCCTCAAATCTGATCTTCTCTCTTAAGCTCCACGAATCTCATGAGCATTGTATGTGCACGACATACGTGCAATGAATCTTAATCACATACGGCACTATTGCAGGATCCAACAAAAAAAAAGGATAAGTGATGTAAAGAAGGATGCAGTTGCTCGGTCACGATTGCATCCATTTCACGCTTCAATTGCAGGCCCTTCACTTTACGACAACATGTAGGAAAAGCATAGAATCTCCAATCAAATCATGAAATGTTTTATTGGGTGAATCTAGCCAAACTATATAAAGTAGGTAGGATTACAGCCGGCCACCTTTACTGTCTTTGTGCTTGGTGAATTATCTTAAAGCATGGTGTCCTGCACTGACTATTTCCGTCACATGACGGAAGAAAGCTCAGCAAGAATTCATCGGGGTCGCAGGGAGGTGCGCACAAAGCTACAATCATAGCTTCCGGTAGGGACAACCTACGAATCCAATCCACTCGCCTCTACAAATGAAATGAAAGGTACTCTAACAAAAAATAACTGAGTTATAAATAATGAATTTATTTTAAAAAAATAATGGTTCAATAAAAAATATTTCTAAAAAATAAAAGCAAAATAATGTAAAAAAAGTAATAGATGAAAAACATTCTTTAAATTTGTATATATGATATATACATCCAAAAGGGCCATTTAATGTTTGGCTGATATCAATGCAAAGCAAATTATTGTAAATAGATAGTGCAGAAACTAAGGAGTTAAATCTAAAAGCATCCCAAGAATAAAGTCAATATGGTAAACAATCGATCATAGATATAAGTTGCATGACCTTATGTCACAACTTAATCATATTGGCAGGAAGGACTAGATAAACACACCTTGTCCGAAGTCCATAGTCGGACTATGGACTTGGTACATTCTCAGGCGCTTCACCAGCATCGTAATTGAACCCTGCCAATCTTAGCACCACATTACAACACGTCAGAGACAGGTGAAGTCGATCCTTTGACCTATTGGTCTGCTAAATAGTTGAAGCTTCTCACCTTTTGTCCAGGGGTGTTCACCTATCCCATATCCTTTTATCATCCCTTCAATATCACAATTTCTTACATGTTTATCGAAACCTATTTGAAACGTATTCACATTCCCTGATGGCTTCAACATCCCTCAAATGTGTCACGGGTGTTGATCCAAGGCTGCATTTTAATCCGCAATCCTCTCTCTTTAGGTCCTATCAGAGTTCCCCTCTTACTCCGTAGGATCCTTCCTTTATCTGCCTGGTCCAATGATTTCAATCGATCGCTGCTACCGTATCCGTGTTCTACGATCTGCATCAAGTCTTTGATAGCAGGTAAACGCCAGCATAACTAAGCAAGCCTATATAGTCTGGATTCTCAATTGGTATGACAACCTAACTTGACGCTGTCGATTCCCTTACCTCTGTGCGGAATGTGAACCGAATAAATCTTGTGGTCAAGCCTCTAATTCATGGAACATGTCTATGAGCAAACTTATCTACTAATATACATCTATCAATGGTCTCCATTGTATCTATTTTGCTTCGATCATTAATGCCAAGTCTATAAGTTTCTTATGCTCAAGTGTCTTGCGTGCCGACCCCCAAATATGATAGATTGATTTGATTTGATTTGAATAGGCTCACTATAGACGTCTCATTTTGGTTTCCGATAATTCATCTCTGGTCTCTTTGAAATTTCCTTGCACTTAAAAACGTAAAAATATTACCTTTGCCCAGTTATCTTCGTTGTGATGATATTGCTGTTCCCTGATCTTCTCCGAGTTTGCTTAGGCAGTATGCAAAATTTTCGCCAACCATAGCTTCTTTAAGTCTCCAGTTCATAAGATTACTTTCAGTCAGGATAAAGACGACTTGCGCATTATTATATTTTCACCATATGCAACCAGCCTTTCTGTCAATTTCAACTCAATGTACCGTCTGTTCAGCTATTTAGGATCTTTCAGTATCCATGTTTATGCTGAGTCTTTGCTGTTCCTTGATCCGTAGGCTAATTTTTATTCTGTTTATCTAACACTCCTGGCACAGTGGGGGAGAGATGGATGTAAGGACCAGTGGGGAGTGTAAGTAACTTTCAATTAGGCCAAGACAAACAAGAAAGTGTGATATTGAAAAGATGATTCAGGGATATAGGATAGGTGAATACCCCAGTACAGGAGATACCAAGACTGTTTAGCAGATAATTGATCAAATGATCGATTTCACTTGTCTCATTGACGGGTTATGGTATGATGTTAAGAAAGTCAAGGCTCAGTGATGATGCTGACTACGATGCGGCGAAATGTCTGAGAATGTACTAGGTCCACAGTCTGATGTTCGGAATTATGTTAACTACTATGGCAGACGACTTCGAACAAGATAAGTTCAACTAAGTCTCCCTGAAAACAAGACCAAATTGTGAAAACAAGTTCACCCCACTATTAAAAATCGAGGCTTACCTAGTAAACGCGTTGTCATATTTCCGGAAGAGATTTTAGCTTGTAACTCCCTGCCAACCATAGGCAGCTTCGTTGATATAACCTTATGAGGACCAATGTTTCCAACTGTGTAAACATTTGATTCACCTTTAATTAGGGTGTAACAATGAATAATTGAGTGAAAATGATAAATAAAAAGATTAAACAAGAAATGGATAGCTCCAAACAGTAAAATCAAATATAAATAAATTCAAGCTTCTGATAAAATGTAGGCATTTGCAAAGGATAAAAACGTATGCATATAAAATAGGATAAGAAGTTTTAGAATTTAAGAATACGTAAAGCTTGAGTTTACGCACGAACAGAATTTTGAATAAGAATAATTTAGGCAAAGCCTAATTTTGAATTGCAGACAGTAAACAAATATGTAGTTCTGAATGCAAATAGGCAATGGCTCATGAAAACTTAAAAATAATAAACCAAATATACTCTAGAAGTGGGTTGACCTCGTTGTCGCAACTTAGTCTTGTTTTTTGGGTGACTATCTAGAACACACATGGTCCGAAGTCATTTGCCATAGTAGTTGTCATGATTCCCAGCATCTGACAGTGGACTTGATACATTCTCAAACGTTTCGCCG